GAGAGAGAGAGAGAGAGAGAGAGAGAGAGAGAGAGAGAGAGAGAGAGTGATAGAGAGAGAGAGAGAGAGAGAGAGAGAGAGAGAGAGAGAGTGATAGAGAGAGAGAGAGAGAGAGAGAGAGAGAGAGAGAGAGAGAGAACACATAACAGTCCCTCGGAGAGCTGACTTCACAGAGGCAAAGCCGCCCTCCGGTTTCTGAGAGCTACAATCTTCATTCTGAGCCCCCATCACACTGACACACAACTATGCTTATTCTCTGAAAGCAGGCTTGTAGGAGACCACCCTCCTGTGCAGCCAGTGCATGGCCGGTCTACACCACTGTACAAGGTGGAAGCATCCATTCTGGATTCTCAAAGGATGAGCTTTGAGTCTCACTCATTAGCTGTGGTGAAAGGTTACATCTGGTTACACCTCTGTTCCTCTTGGTTGGGTTCACAATCTCCAACAGAGAGGGAAACACACTGTTTTACATCAGTATGCTGGTTTGAACGAAAATGTCCCCAAACGGGTGTGGATGGTTGAACAGTTGGTGACATTGTTTGGGGAGGTTTAAGAGGTGTGGCCTTATTAGAGGAAGTGTGTCACAAGAGGCAGTCTCTGAGAGTTTAAAAACCCACACCTTTTCCAGTCTCACTCTTCTTGCTTATGGTTTACAATGTGAGCTCTCGGCTCCCTGCTCCTGCTGCATGCCCACTGCTGGCTGACATGCCATTTGGAGCTTTAAGGACACATCAGCTCTTCCTTCCATGAGTTGCCTTAGTCACTGTTTTATCTCAGCAATAGGAAAGCATCAACAACCATCAGTCTTCCAAGGTGGTCAGATTTCACAACCTAGTGAACTGTGAATTTCAGATAAACCAGGAGGAACACAATAGTAACGGCTTATCTATTGAAAATACACTTGCTGTTTGTCTCATGCTCAACACGGACTTCATGCCCTGCACTCTGTCTTTGCTGTGACCCATTTCCCAGCTGCAGTAGGGAAAAGCAAGGGTGTCTTTCGGGCCTCTGGAAACAGCACCAGAATGTTGGCCCTGCTGGACGTAAGCCCAGAACACTTTACAGGTCCCATGGCATTTCCCACAGCTCTGGATAAACACTCAGAAAACAGGTCCTGCTGACCTCCCTTGCCCACCATGCAGCCTCTGTCTGGCACAGACAGCCAGGGGAGCACTGTCCGGGACGCAGGGGCATTCAGATTATAAGACCTTCTGGTTTGATTTTATCTGCCTTCTTATACCTGTCTGTGCTTCTGAGTGAAAGCCAAGTGATGTTCTTTAGAAATGTAAGTGTGCTTGAGAATTGTACGGGGGGGGGGGGGCATCTGATTGGGGAAGGAAGCCCATGGTGATTCTCTCAAGCTGTGAGACAGTGGTGTTTTCTTTCAGCAGTTACTGCCCTATTCTGGCTCTTTGGTGACAATCTAGCTGGCAGTCTAGGTGGGCTTCCTTAAGGAGCCATATCCTGTCCCCAAGAACCTCTCTGTCCCTTGCTCCCTCCCTCCCTCCCTCCCTCCCTCCCTCCCTCCCTCCCTCCCTCCCTTCCTCCTTCCCTCCCTCCTCCTCCTCTCCCTCCTCCTCCTCTCCCTC